TTGGGAGTATGGTGGCTCTCCAGCCCTGACATATCCCCTACAGAATCAACATTCAGATGTTGGTTTTTAAATTGCAACACTTTTGCACTGTGAGCATTAACTGAGTTGAGTCTCACTGCTGCTCCAACAAGTGTGACTCAATCTCAGCTTTGACAGATACTCTAGTCTCATCATCATACCTTCAAACCTCCCTTTGTTCCCTAGGATTTTAAAAGATGCATCAGGTGCTATGAAAACGGCATGCGGTGGGAATTGATGTTCAATAAGATTTCGTAAACAGGGGAACCTCAAACCCCCATTTTCTTTTTAAAGTTTTGCCTTTGTGAATTGCACATATGTACTTTGACCAAACTGTCTCTTCATTTATACCATCACTTCCCTCTATCCAAAAAGAAATTGGATGTGTAATAGTGTTATAAAGTTGTTGATATATACAGAATGTATGCAAACCTATATATATACGACATGTTTCCCAAAGACGTATAGTTCTGTTTTCCATTCTCTCGATTGGAGCATGACAGACAGATTATGTACACTAGCAGTGTTTGCTAGCAATGATGACTTGGAATGTTTGAGGTACACTAGTTAATGTTGCAGAACAGACAGGATTGTCAAATTTGTCAGATAAAGATTTCAAGATTAGCTGACTAATGTGGGGGGATTCAAACTTTCTGTAAGTTTACAACACTGGATTTTTTTTCTGAAGCACAAGACAATGCAAGTGATACTTTAGCGTTAACATCTCAGCATGCTGTATTTAAAGAGCTCTGGGCTTGTAATTCTACTGAGCCTTGAGCAGTAGGTGAATACATCCGAGACAGAAAAATAGGCAATTATACTTTGCCTGTAAAAAGCTTTTTTACTTAATTCATGATCACAAATGTAACAGGATTTACTGGAATAGACAGTATTTGTGTTACAATACAGCATGTATTATGTCTCTATACTTTCAGCCACAATGCTCTTGAAATGCTGTTACAAGCTGCTTTCAGTTCGTTAAATGTCTTGCATTGTACTTGTATGTTTTTTTTTATACATGGGTGGTTGTTAATATATGTGTATAAAAACTTATTTTTAAAAATATAGATCTCTACTCTTCAGTATGCAAAGTTAAGGAAGGATTTCCTGAACATCACCAGATACTATGTGCCTTTTACATATACCCAGAATTCATAGTTAAAGGTAAACAGCCTTAAAGACCTGTGTTAATGATCAACTGTTAGAAATGTAACTGGTATTAAATATAATCTGGCACTGACTCATCTGTGGAAACAAAATAAAAATGTTTTGTCCAAACTTTTTGAAAGATGTATTTTTCTCATTTTTACCTTCTTCTTGAGCTGGAACTTTTTGATCAGTAACCTCCCCCAACTTAAAACCACTTCAGAGGGCACAGGCTTGTTGCTAGAGTAGTGCACGTGGCCTCATGGTGAGTAGTAACAGCAGATGCACAAAAAGATGTCTGTATTGGCAGAAAGTGTTACTGTATTTCAGATGGCATTCTGAATTGATACTTCAAATGCAAAGAATAAGCCCGTTTTAAAAAAAAAATGCAACCGTTAGCAGACCTGCCTTGAAAAACCCCACATCTGAAGCAGCTGCCTTTGGAAAGCATGTGCTCATTTTGAAATGAGCACAGAGAGGAAGCACCTGTTGGTAAATTGTTTTAACTGTTCTATTCCACTCTTCACCCGCAAAACCAGGACGGGGGTAGCGGCGGCAACACGTCATGCTCACTGTTGGTAATTTTAACCCATCTACAGTTAAGATTAGACCATTTTGAGATCTAAACAATACCAACTGCTTTTTACAGAGTAAATATTCTGAAGACTTGCTAGAATTGTCTGGTTTTGGAAGTTATAATAAGAATGAAATTAATCGACCGTTGCGTTTCCCTAGGCGTTGCGATTTATGGATGTAGCGATTTAACTTAAACCGCGTGCGACAATTTAAACATTGTATGTTAATAGATAACTTTCCAAAATGGAATAAAGGAATATACGTCAACCACCCCACCCGCATTGGCGGATATTAAACCCCGCCGCCTCTTAATCGCCACATTTTCAAATCTGGCGCCCAGGCAGACACGTGGTTGAATAGTCTTCACCGGAAGTGACATTAACCCCCCCAACACCGAGTGCTAAACTTCGTGCAGGGAAACCACCACCTTTAAGTAAAAAAAAACTTATAGCAGCTTTTAATATAAAGGACCGCCCTACTTAATTTGTAAGGGACATAGATTTAAACCTGTTTAGCACGAGTGATGTCCGCCCACGGCAGCGCCAGCCTTTTTAAAGTCAGCGCTCCGCGGGACTCGAGCTAAACCCCAATACAGTCGAGACACACAACAAACCCCCCATCAGAATGAAATTCAGCTCTTTTCTGCGACCATCTGGGCGGCCCTTAAAAGGGCCTTTGTGTTGAAGGGGTGGATGGTATCGGTCAGTCGGTAGTAAGGTGGTGCCGTGACGCCGCTCGCCCGTCTTCCTCTCCGGCCAGTCTAGTACTCCTGGGACTGCTGGGAAGCCTTCTTGCCGGATTTACCGGTGCTGGGGGCGGCCTGCCCGGTCTTCTTGGGCAGCAGCACCGCCTGGATGTTGGGCAGCACGCCGCCCTGCGCGATGGTCACGCCGCCCAGCAGCTTGTTCAGCTCCTCGTCGTTGCGGACGGCCAGCTGCAGGTGCCGGGGGATGATGCGGGTCTTCTTGTTGTCCCGGGCGGCGTTGCCAGCCAGCTCCAGGATCTCGGCGGTCAGGTACTCCAGCACCGCGGCCAGATACACCGGGGCCCCGGCGCCGACCCGCTCGGCATAGTTTCCCTTCCGCAGCAGCCGGTGGACACGGCCGACTGGGAACTGCAAGCCAGCTCTGGAGCTGCGAGACTTCGCCTTAGCGCGGGCTTTTCCGCCAGTTTTGCCTCTGCCAGACATAATTGGAGATTCACAACTCGAACGTACCTGAAAATCTAAGCGTAAACTGAGCGAAATGCTTTCGATGCTGACAATTTTATCCCTGGCGTTAACCGCCGCCCCCATGAATTCACACTTCAATTCGATTGGATTGAGGTTTCAAGGTGAGCCTCTGATTGGTTCAAAGATGTAGGGGGCTGTACCTGCTGGGCGGCAATTGGTTGATCGATATTAGGTGTGACAAGTCCATAGAGGCGTAACAATCAGGCAAGGAACGATCCAGAAAGGTCACGGATTGGATGGCTTTGAAGAAGCTCGTCTGTGATTGGGCTAAACTGCCGTCAATCAATTTCAAACCTCAGTGCGCCACTTTCAGCAAATAAGGACCGTTCCCTTGAAATGCAAACGAGAAAGAAAGATTGTGGCGCCAGAGAATACGTGTTTTATTGTGCTATAAAATAGCTCGCATTGAGAATTTGTAGGTTGTATTTACAAAATAACAGAGTTTCGTGTTATATATTGAATTTAATAATCCTATTAATTACGCTTCATAAGGAAACGCGCACTATGCGATATAAAACAATCTTTAACGTTTTCTTATTTTTAAGTACTACTGTGTCCAGCGTTGAAAACTAGTAATATCGCCAAACAAAATTGCAAACGAATTACCAGTTTTAACTGCTTTATCCATTGTTCCCTAAAGTTCGGGGAGGATAAAATTAAAGCAGTAAGAACTTAACATTAAAACGCTCTCTTAATATTTTCTTTTTGTTTTTGTTTAGGAGTGAGTGCGCACGCGTGTTCTGATCTCACAGACAGACGTGTCGATGCCAAGGAGGCGAAGATAAAAATAAAATGCATATGTGCCTTGTTCTAAATCCCAGTGAAAATACAGCCTTTCTTAGTGAAACGTTGCAGACACAGACACATGGCAAGACAGATTCTCGCGTATGCTTTTTTAAGGTTTTTATTATTTTTTAAAATACAACAAACGGGTATATACATACAGATATATGATATAATAATAATAATAAAAGAAAAGCGCTATATAAGTGTAAGTTATTATTATTATTGCTTACACCTGTATAACGCTTTCTGGACACTCCACTCAAAGCGCTTTACAGGTAATGGAGACTCTCCTCCTCCTCCACCAATGTGCAGCCCCACCTGGATGATGCGACGGCAGCCATAGTGCACCAGTACGCTCAACACACACCAGCTATCAGTGGGGAGGAGAACAGAGTGATGAAGCCAGTTCATATATAGGGATTATTAGGAGGCCATGATTGTAATGACCATGGGAAAATTTGGCCAGGCACCGGGGTTAACACTCTTAATCATTTCGGGAAACACCCTGGGATTTTTAATGACCATGGAGAGTCAAGACCTTGGTTTTACGTCAGATCCAAAGAACAGTCCCTTTTTACAGTATGGTGTCCCCGTCACTATACTGGGGCATAAGGACCCCCACAGACTGCAGACTGAGCGCCCCCTACTGGCCCTTCTAACACCCCTTCCACAAACATTGAGCACCTAGCTCAATATTTCAGTTTCTCTTACCGATGCTGAGTGAATCCTCTTTTCTTAATCTCCGCAAGGACCTCATTCAAACATTGAGTGAAGCACTCGCTTTGTTTAAAACTGCAAACAACTTTACGTCTAAACTAAAACGTTTAAGGGGGCGATTTACTTTATAAAATACAATAATATAACGAAGCTTATATTGCTTTGAAACATTTAAACCTTTCTCCGAAAAGTGCGATACAATGTATGTTCGTGCTTCGGGGTGTACTAAAAGCCACTCAATGCGTAAGGCACTCAATGAACCGTGAGTTAACTGTTGCATTTTAGAGAAAACTTTACTTGAACGTGGGGGGAGGCCTGTAGTTATTGGCAGTATTTTTGCAGATGTGACTGAGTTTTCGGCGTGTGTTTGGTGGTGGTATTAAGTAAAATTTAAATAATAAAAAACGTCATTAAATATACTTTACTAGGTTGACTAACGGTTGTGAAATAAAAGGGCGAATGCCCTTTATGTTACAAATATTTTAAAGTTCTAAGTCTGAAATCGTTGTAATGTGGTTCAGTTTGCCTTGGCAAGGAAAGGGGCTGAAACCTTTTTATTTAGCCGAACCTTGGTGAATATTCATGTCTCTTTTATTGGTATTATTTTGCAGAATATCTGGTTCAGTCGCAGGATCCGTGACCTGACACTGCTGAAACCAATTAATGATGACTTTTTAAAAACTTGTTCCACAATGTTCGTATTGATTTTTCCAGTCCCACACACAAATAATAAAACAGAACGTTTTCGCGTTTTGCGAAGACCCAGAGGTAGCGATTTCGAGAGTCAGTGTTCTTTTTTGTGCCGTACTTGTTTGACGTTTTTTCTTTCTAATCTGAATCCAGTATAGATTGAGGCGTGGTGTTTTTCATTAGACCTGTAGACGTGGTAAATCTTGGTTTTCGAGAAATCGCGAAATGGCTGCTCTGGCGCTGCTTATGAGGACAAACTAGATTATATTTACAACATTGCACAAAAAAAGCTTGAGAATTTTAAGTATACTGAGCATCAAAAGAAACGTCGCTTAACTCTCACTTTGCTGCAGGTCTTTATCAGGAAAATGGTAATCTGTGTAGCAGGTGCAGTGACATTTTATTGCATATCTGCAGTGCCTGTCTTGCACCAGGTTGCTCTCTTGTGGGATTTGGCCTGATTTCTCTCTCCCGGAACCTGGACAGCCTGTTCCCTGGTCACTGACAGCTACACATTCAGTGGGACTTCAGTCAGGTGAGTGGGGCCTTCATTGCTTGGACTGTCTCGTTCTCATCCCGCACACCAGCTGGTTTTCCAGGAGCAGCAGGAGAACATACACTGTCCTGCTGGAACGTTGTCTCTTCGGGTTGAGTCTGCATGAAGGCCAGGTAGTGAGGACCCATGGCATGGGCAGTGTAGCACCATGCAGCCAGGGTGACATCAAGCACTAGAAGAGGCGTTTGACAGCAGCTAGACTGTCACACTCGGACCTCATGGTGTTTGGGTGTAACGGCAGGTGGCAGGTCCTTAACCACCACAACGCCCAATAATTCCATTGGATCTTTAATGAGCAAGTAGTCAGAACCTCTAGTTACCATCTCACCTAAAGATCCACCCCTCCAGAAGCACAGTCTTGTTTGGTAGAAAATAGATTAATTCTTAATTCTGAGAGCGCCACCTGCTGGTCCTCAACACCACTTGCGGCAACAGCAGTAGTCTGATTTTCCTTAGAGGTCTCCTGTCCCAGAACTGTTCAGCTTCTGGTATTTGTAGAGTTATGTCAGGCTGGAAGGTTTTGACGCTGCTGTTAGTTGCAGTAATGGACACTTCATCCACCCCACTAAACACCAGCCCACAATTAAAAGCATGCTTTATATCAGTTTGATTCTTTATTTATAAGTTAAATGAAATCCATTACAGTAGTGTAAACCAGATTCCAAACATTTAAAAAGAAAAAAAAAAGGCTTTGTTTTTGTATCATTGTTATATTCAGCATTGTAAAAGAAACAGTATTCCCTAAACTGAAGCACTACTACAATATCCAGGAAAGCAGCTCTCAACAGCAGGTGAGGGACTGTCGTAGCAGCACACAGGAACTGGAGACAGAAGAGTGCAGAGGAGAACCACAGCACAGGGGAACCAGCCACAAGTACAGGCCAAGCCTGCTGGATTCTTGACCAGGACACTGAGGTTAGGAGACACAGGGGGAAGGAAACTGAGTAGCTCAAAAGGGATAGTGGAGAGCTGGGGGGGGACCTGTTTGTACTTTTACAGTGGTTATATGCCATCGGAGACCAAAAGCACAGATCTCACAGCTCTGTCCACCATGATTGCAGAAACCTAAAACCCTGAAAATGGGTAATGTTATCTGGGTGAGCAGGCTACACCTCAAACCTCAACCTGTCTTCCAACTGCAAATTACAAACCCAGTAATATATGGAATGGTGTGTTCCCAGTGTATAGCAGCAAGAGAGCTGTGGTCGTCTAGTGCTGGGCATATAATTTGCTACTGATGGGTGCACATTCTATTAATTCCAAGGCCTGTGTATTGTGAGGGACTTGGCAGGGATGTTGTAGGGTAATAAACTCAGGCATCCATTGGGGAGATAAACAAGAATTGTATTCCTGGCCTGAGTTTGAGCAAGTGCTTAGGCTGCACAGCAGAGGTGACCAAGTCCAGCCCTCACAGCCACTGTCCAGTAGGTTTTATAAGCTTGTTAAATTTCCAACAGCGAGGAAGGGCTTCAACTTGTCCAATTAAGCACATTAGGAATTTGGTTAGCTAATGAAGGTCCCTGTCGCAAGAAAGGAAAAGATTGGAGATGTGTGTCACTGCAACACAGTGCAGTTGTACCCAACCCTGGACCAGATAAACACTGCTTCCTGGAATTTACTCTAGCTGAGTTCTTAATTGGAGTCCAACTGATTTCAGTTTCCTATTTTAGGGGTGTATTTGTCAATTTGTCCTCCGCTCTTAAAAGGGGAACTGGGATTTGTACCTGGCATCAACCCTGGATCAGTATCAGAGTGTCCCTCACACAGATGTTGAATGAAATGTAACCAGTCAGATAGAAAGACAAAAATGCTAATTGCGGGCATGTCATTCTCAACTGTGTAAATTCATACTCACCTCGATCAACCAGTAAAAGCTGTTTAAGCCCAAATAAAATGTATTATTGACACCCCCAGCTTTGCAGAACATACTAGTTAAGTCTAAACAAGCAAGGAGGTGAATTGAGTAAACCCTTAGCACTGGAGATGTGGAGCACAGCTGGAAGGAAGCAGTGTTCCTTCAGGGTTTTTCAGCTGAAGCAGGGGACAGCGATGAAAGGCAAACTGAATTGTAACGGGAGCAGGTTTGCACTTTTGGTACTCCGAGAGAGTCTAATCGGAGAGACATGGTATAAACTAGTGCTTTCTGGAATCATTTCCAACCTATCCTAGAATCCAAACTACTGCGGGGTATTTAGCTCATCTTAGATTTCACACCTCCCAGGTTTGAGGTATAGCATGCCAAAGAGGTTTGAATTCATCTCTGCCAAAAGACTGGCCTGCTACAGCAGGAGACTTTTACACAGTCTGGTTTCCTAGGGGTTTGCGTTGCCTTGTAACAGGCTCAGAATGAGCCCGTTATGCAACAGTAGAGCAGTCTGAGGTCTTGACAGTGGTAAATGGAGCCCAAGTGCAAGGCCCTGTTTCTGCAGTGTGTGATGAACGTTAAGAAGCCACAGCTGACAGGAAGGTACTTGAACAGTATTGTCTCTTCATTGATTCTTCTCTGCCTGTGCCTGCAGTGCACCTGCACAGTCTGTCTCAATCGTAAACATTACAGCACCGGCGTCTGTTTGTTTTGATGTTCACTGCTTCTGGGAAGCAACCTGCTTGTTCTGCACCTCTCCGGAATTGGAGTTAAACATTTCTTCTTTAAAAAAAAATCCAGTAAATCTACCTCCCAGCAGAATTATATACATTAGTGTACACAGCAAGGTTCTCTGTTTCCTCTTTCAGGAAACACCTTTGAGGAGAAGTTTAAAATGACAACGATTATGCTCCCCCTGGCATAGGAGAACAGTGTGATGGAGTTTGCTAGCAGAATCTGTATGTTACTCTGTACCCATATAGTAGTAGGAGCTGTGAACTCCTGAATTCACATGCTAAACTCTGATCATCACGCTTGCTTAAGCAGAGATGCTCACCTCCCCCGCCCCCCTTACTAAAGCCCAAATGTTGAGTTTTACACAAAACTCCTGATGAGAAAGGAAGGTTTAAGTGCTTTCTGAGTCCTGGAGTGTTGTGAGAAAGTTACCTCAAAGACAGGAGGGGGAGTGTGTAGAGAAATGTGTATATATAAGCTGTGTAGAGCCATATCCCCTTTGAACTACGATAGATACTATAACTATTATGGTCCTTATTGTAGTTCCTTGTATGCCTACAATAAAGCTTGGCTGGACGAACGAACGCTTCAGGCTCGAATCTCTTGGTTTCTACAGTATAGAAGCTTCAAAGTCATGGTAAATGTAGGTTTCCAGTTCTGTAAAATTTTCAGTTTATACTTTAATGAAAAATAGTCTCTAAACAGGATTGCGAGGTCTGAGGCATTGTCTTGTTTTGAGTTATCACAGCTTGCCGGAAACCAAGAGCTTGGAGTGGAGGGATGATAAATGTGTGTCCCCACTCACAACTGTGTGATAAACTCCATATATTCTAGAACTGCATGGAATTCATTATACTTCCCTCTCCTTTTCCTTTGAATGATTTTAGTACTTTAGAAAGGGAGCCACAGCCCCTACATATACAGTACATGGACTGCAGCTCTGAAACTTGGTCTGTTTTCAACTGAGTTCATTCAGCGCTAGTTGTATTTTTTCCTTGTTTCATTTTTGAGAAATGCTGAATGTTGGAATGTGCTTTAGTAGCTAGTGTTCCTTACCGATGGCCCTGATAAATGGAAATGTAGCTATTGAAATGCCCCATAAGACTACCTTTTACCGTAGCACGGCGTAGTGGAGTGTTCCTCACTTAATACAGTAACCGTTTGGTCATCTGAAGCTTCTTCCATGTTCTCAGATGTGGTTTATACTGACAAGCTTCAGTGGCCTAGAATCTTTCACTTCTGGCGCTTGTATAGAGTGGGGAATGATGGATGGTCACGTTTCTCCCATCTTCTTCATGGCATTTTTAGGTTTCACAAGGCAGGGGCTGGTATTTGAGGAATTTGATCTTAATCCAATTGGGGGAAAAAAAGGAGAAAGGAGGCAGAGAGCTCTAGAGGAGACCCAACTGCTGTCAGAACAGCTCTGTGTTTGATGCGGATCCAAGGGTTCCTTTCAAAACTTCCCAAAAATAATGTGCTCCGTAAACGGCACTATTTTTACACACGTCCTTCTTCCTAAAAAGGAAGGCTTGAGAGTCCCATATCTCCACGACTGCAGTTACAGATGAGTCCTTCTTGCTAACCCGTAGTTGTCCACTCTGCCCCCTTTGCTTTATCTTGTGTTCCTAGCTTCATTTTTAGCCAGACCCATGACCAGAGTTCCCAAGAAAGAAGGAGGAACTCCGAGCCTCGCATGCGGATAGACTGGACCCAGAATCTGGGACAAGGCTCTTGGATCTCTGCTCGTAGAGTGGCGGCTGTGTGTGTAGGCACTGGGATGCCTCCAGTGGTGTATTTTTGTAAAAAGTATCAGACACCCCTCTGTGAAAGAGAGTGGGTATTTTCTCCTGCACCCTACATGTCAATGAAGACCTGTGGAGAAGTATCATTTCTTCTTTTTTAAAAAAAATACAAAATCTGTCACCCCAAGATGTGACCCTTCCCAACACCTGTCTCCCCCTCTCCTACTGCAAGCAATGGGACCTGTAGTTTAAAGAATACCTGAGTTATCTCAGACTAGTGTAACCTCCTGTGTACATCTATTGCACTGACCCTTTAAATATGTAGTTCCTTCATAAATTGTTTAGCCACTGTTGGACCTGAATTGCAATTGTAAGTAAAGAACTCGTTGTGATGTGCAGTTTCAGTTTGATTGCAGTGCAGTCAAAACTGAACAATTCTAATCAAATAAAGAGGCCATTAGCATGTGGTGAGATTGATAGAATATGCCTTCCCTGCAGGATTTAAAAAGTCCTTTAAAAAATAGAGTATTTTCTCTGCTCATTTTCATAGTGCAATCAAAATAAACCTGGCCCTTTCTTCTAACAAATGAACAGTACAGGCCACTCGCCGTCCGGGTATTTAAAACTCTTTACACTTTGGATGCATTCAGTGAGGCTAGTTTGGTGGGGGGAGGGGGGGTGGGGGATAAGGACTTATTACTGTAGAGGAAGTCAAAATGCCACAAACAGTGCCATTCTCCTGCAGGTATCCCAGGTAGGCATCAGTCTGGAATTGAACATTTAAAAAGCCCCGTTCCCAGAGGAATTGGCTCACAGCGCTCCATGGAATCCAGGATTAAGTGGTTGTTGGTACGAGAGGCGTTCACCAGGGATCTATCCCAGGTTCCTGAATTAAACTGCGTTGCATGCCTTTGTCTGCCTTCCCCCGCCCCCCTCCCCAGCCCCCCCAACAGCTCAGTCCTCTGCGCCGCCCATCCCACCGTTGGCACTGGTCTTGCTCTTGGATTTGGTGCGGAAGGAGAAGCGCTTGATGAGGCGGCGAGAGAAGCTGCCCGATTTCTTGCGCACCGCCGAGCCGTTGCCCAGATTGGAGACGTCCTCGTGCGATTGGCTGAGGCTGGGGTCCTTCTGCCGGTGCCGCCTGCGGAAGAGGAGCTTGGTACCACTGCGCAGGAAGCCCACTGGACCGGGACCGGGCGGCAGAGACGAGGGAGAACAGGGCGAATTGGAGAGGGTTAGAAAAACATGTCAAGCTGTGGCAAGAGGTAGAGGCTACTCAGTGGCAGTGCTGGAGGGAGAGAAAGGGATAAGAAATCGGACAGGGGTACCTTTGTGATCTTTCAGGCTACGCGTTTCCAGGGCTCCAGTTGAGCCAGTCTCGGATTCTACGTCGTCCACGGAGGGCCGCTCGGAGATGTCCGAGCGAGTGGTCTCGTCGGGCTCTTGCTGCACGGCACCCTGGGAGGAGGCCCCGCTGTGGTTGGCGGCCCCAGGGACAGGCTCCCCCTGCAGGGCGGCGTCCATCGCTGCAGCGTAGTTGATTGACAGGGCTGCCTCATCCTCCATGATTGGAACCTGGGAGGCAGAGGGGAGGCGTCATGTTGGCGGTGACAACTTCAAGCGCTCGCCGGCACAACGGGACTGACCAATGGAAAGCCACACTACCATTCAGGTTTGACACCGTTACAGATAGGATCGATGAGATGCTTCACAGTGCTGAAAGGAAGTGCTACATTGTTTGAGCTCTTAAACAAGCCTATACTCTGCTATATTAATCTGTTGAGCATGCTGGCAGCTGGGCTAATCCGTTTTCGAAAGCGTTGCTCGAGATCGTTTTCCCCCCCTGCGGCGTATGGCCTGACCTTCGAGACCCCCGAGATGATGAGCGTGCTCCTCTTGGTGGGCGTTTTCTTCGCCGCCTTGCTGGCCGATTCCGTCAGCTGGCGGATGGCGGTCTCGGCCACAGGGTCCAGCCCGTTCGAGAGGTGGCTCTCCGCTGCCCGACGGAAGGAAAGCGAGTTTAGTTTTAGCGGACGAGGGCCGGCGGCAGTTGCGAGGGGGAAGGGATCCTCCCCGGTTGCACTGTCGGGAGAGTTCTACAGAGGGTTAATCCCCGTCCTGTTTACAAATCTGGAATTAACCGTGAGCTTTGTGAAAGTACAGTAAATCACCATGTTGTCGCAAACTGCTGGTCTCGCCATGGGTAAAGAGCGAGAGCTCCCACGAACTGTGACATGAAGCGGCCCTTCCTGCTCGCTAGTCACTGTAAAGACTACTGTAATGCGGTGAACGAGAGAATAAGTATGGGTTGCGCAGCAGACATTTCACCGCAGAAATGTTCCAACGTGACCTGCACACGGAATTAAAAAGTTTATTCAATTCATCGGCAAAACCATCTCGAAGTCAAGAGCAAGATTTCTATTGGATTAAAAGAGATGTATTCACAGGCCTGCTTGTTTACAATGTAATAGGGCTGCTTCATGCCACCGGAGGTTTTGTTGCCTCGTTCTGAATGGCGGAATATGGCGCTGACATGTTTTGGACGTTTTACAGGTTACTGTGAATGTTTTTACTTTCATTGTGGTTTGAAATTCACGTATCTATGCTGATTCTTCCTAACCCTTCAATATGAAAATAGCGTTGCAGTTCCCCTTTAAGAGCACACATTTGTATGTGCCCCAAATAACACTTAACCCGTTGTATTGCTCTCTACACACTTCAACCGTGCAAATTCCCCCTGCTCGATTGCACTCAAATTTAACCACAGCCCCCACCCCACCCCTTACCCCCTGTGAGGATGTAATCAGTAAGCCCTCTGCGCTGGAGGCAGATGGTGCTCTGTTCTGTCCCAGCCTGCATCACTTGTCTGAATGCTGGTGTGGCCCAGATTGCTAGTGGCGTCTTTAGGGGCTTTTTTTCCCCTACAAGAAGCGTTGCCTATGCGTGGGACTTACTGCTGGTGGTAGCGGAGACCCCTTCCTGGAGTTCCTCTGCAAGCACGGTGGGTTTCTTCTCCGTTACTTCCACCTTGGAGGGAGAGCAAGAGGGGGAGTCTGGAGGGAAATGCATGCTGGGGGTTAGGAGATCCACCCAGGACAGAGACAGTCCCACCTGCCTTCCACTGAAGGCCACTTTCCCAAAGCAAATCAAACCCATCTTATTTCTCAAATGCAAAGATCAACAGGAAGTTTAAATTCCCCTTCAAGAAACTGCAGACAACTCTGCTTCCATCTTTTAAATGTATTTGTGCAGCTTTGACCTGATAGATGACAGACAATTAACAAAGCCATGTATTTATGATATTTATTTTGTGATAATTCTCTGACTCTGATCCTGGAGGGTCTCGTCTTTTCTAGCTTTTGGCCCAACGTGAGTCGTCAACAATTAACCTCACGATAGTCTTAATTAGACGTGTCTTTTATGGTTTATTACACAATACATACTGTAGTTAACGGTACCCCTTATGAAGGGAATAAGTCAGCCTGCTTAGAAGTGTTGCAATTACACAGCTAATTAAATGATTTTTTCAACAACATAACTGAGAACATGGGTGAAAAAAAATCAGAAGACACTGGACCCTCTGGAAGATGAGTGTGCGAACCCTGCCTTACACAACGTTTTCAGCTCTGGGCTGAGAAGATTTCCCCTTGGCTTTTAATTTGGCTTTAATCACTGAGACTTAATCAGTTATTTTTAATTTCCTTAATTAGATATTCCTAACTTCTTGCTTAGAAAATGGTCATAGAAGTGTAACAAACAGAACTCCACCCATTCTCTCCTCCACTTGCTTCCCAAATGCCTTATTTCTGTTGAAATAGCTCTTAACAGGTGGCCAATTAATGGTGTCTAGACACCACCATGGCTGTGAACAGTGACTGATCTCCAGATGTCCAGTTACTGAAACACTCTTAATGAGCATAGGTGTGAAACTCTTAAGTTGGTTCAGGGTTGATGGTCATTACTAACCTGAAGCAACATCTTAAGACTTTCAGACGCCTAGAGATCAGTTAGCCTAATTAAGATCTCACCCTGTTCTAGGACCAGGGCTGAAAATCGCTGCCACGACTCCGTGACCAGTGCCGAGAGACTGGTCTCCATCCCGCCAGCGGCCTTACCCAGCTTGCAGTCCAGCTTGGGTCGAGACTGGATAGTGGTAACCGTGGTGACGATGGTGCCGTCGGGCATGATGGTGCGGTCCATCTCCACCTTCTTCGTGGGGGTGAGGGAGGTGCGGAGGGGAGTGGCCGTCGGCCAGGTGTGGGGGTCTCCGGGCTCCAGATACACCAGCTGCAGAGAATCGCCCCTTTCCCATCAGCAGACAGACACCGGGCGTGGTGCCACACATCGGCAGCCTCGGACACTAGCTCGAGTCAAAAACCGTTCTATCTGGGCTGATCGGCCTGCGACCAGATCACACGATTATCCTGCGACCAGCTCCCTGATCGTTGAATTAGAATCCTTCTACAAATGAGCATGTACTCTAATACCTTCCTTAATACCTAACTTTTATGGTCCATTTGCTGTTTTCATGTATGGATATATTTTTTTTGCTCAGAAATGTTGTTTTTTGATTATGTGTTGTATACCCCCCCAAGGGAACAAATAAAGCATTTTGAATTGAATGTTATAGGTTCCAGACCTCCAGAGAGACGGTGCCACTCGAGGGCAGTCCTGGGCCTGGACTGATTAGAAGGACCTGTCGGCCAGTGGGAGCCTTCTGACCGACGTCCAGTGGGATAGTGGCCTGGCCGGGCAGGAACTCTGCAGGAAAGAGAAAACGGGTCCCCTTTCGGGCTCAGAATAGCTGAGTGTACTCGCACTGCTTCCACGATACAAATATAGCGAACGGGGTGAGTCGATCACGGCGGAATCCTTCCTTCAGCAATTTGCTTAAAACATCTGTCCACAAGAGGTCGCCACATCCTCGCAGTTGCACCTGTCACAGTCCGTGCACGTGTATTTTTTTAAAAAAACATTCGTTTAAGAATACTTACGGTTTTAAATGCAGGTAGTGAAGATAAGTAAATCTAAAATCTCAAGGCACGGTCCGATTGACCACTATCTCTCATTTACATGTAGATTAAGGATTTATAGCTTTGGTGGCATCAGAGAAAAAGGGTAGTAAGCGAAGGATAATTGTTTTAAAATGAGCACTGGAAAGTACTAGAGCTTAATTTGCATTTTGCGGTGTTACTTTGCATTTAAAGAGCCATACGTTCTCCTCCGCTCGTTCTGTTCCTCTCCAGTAGCCTCACTCTCAGCTCCCTGGTGTTCAGGCCCAGATCCCTGTAAAGACACAACAGCACATCGCTTTGCAGGAATCTCTCAAACGGTTTCAAACGCTATGGTCTTTTCCAGCGTCACCACTGTTTACAAATCTGCACAACCCTTTTTTTGTCCCTCTCACTCATTGCATAAAATGCATACATGCTAAGACTGATTCCTCTTTGGCTACGTTACAGTGTTACCCTGTAGCAATTCCATGCTTTATTTGCTAATGTGAGTACTGTAAACATGCTGATATTAGGCATTTCCACTAATGAGTGCAAAAGTGACTGCTCAGCAAGACTGCTGGTCTTCTGATAATTCACCATCACCGAGCACTACTGTATGAACGTCTCTCCTGAGACGACTCCTCCTTGGAAAGAGAAACACTTGTTTCGGGGGACAAATGTTTGGTGGGTTTTTTTTTAGTTTTGAACAGATAGGACCACAAGGGGCCTAAGTTATGTACTCCAGTGGTTCTCAACCCTGGGGGTACCTCGAGATGCACCAGGGGTACCTCGGGCGTCGCATCCAAAATGGGGGGTTTTCATGGGCTTAGGTTTTAGTAAGATATTTATCAGCTACATCTGAAATCGTTTAGATTCTAAATGATCTATACATATTTACGATATTCCCGTTTCTGTTGTCATGAGGAGAAGGGGGGGGCAGCGCGATTTGCAGGGTGTGTCCTCTATCCGCTGAAATCTGTACGCAGCCGCAGAAACGCTCTGAGGTGTGATCTGGTGCTGGAGCGACGTGGTGGTTGTTGTTTTTTTTTTGCTGGGTAACTATTTTTTATTTTAATTTTACATCGCAGCAGGGAGGGGGGTTTCTCATTACATTCACCCAGCAAGTCTATTTTTTCATTTTTTTCATTTTTTTTTTCATTTGGGGGTCTTAATAATACGCACATTGTTTTTTGTTTGTTTCAATTTTTAAGAGTAGCGATTCGTTTTTTCATTCCGCTATGATACAGCACATACATAGTGTACATGTAAAAAAAAAAAACCCTTTCGTAGCGTTCTATGCCTACGATAATCTTAGGGGGTTCCTGGGGATCGAGACGACTCCCCAGGGGGTAACTCGGCCAAAAAGGTTGAGAACCACTGGTGTACTCCAACCCCTCAAGGGCCACAGAGTTAACCCAATAGACTGCTTGGGGACCCACTGACCCAGAAGACGGAACAGGAAATTAGGCTGACAGGCTTTCAGCTGAGAACAGGGGGCACTTCTTTATAGCAAAGGGATGTGGGAGTCTGGAACAAGCTCCCCAGCCACGTGGGCCAGGCTGATGCTAGCAACACAAACAGGTTAGGTGGGGCCAACGGCACCCTGAACCTTCTAACGTGACTGGTGTCTTACAGAGTGATGTCCTCGTTCCAGTCCAGCTCCCAGTCCGGTCCCGAGGAAGACAGGAAGTGGGTCCTTCCCTGGTGTGTGGGCGGATCCAGGTCCAGAACGCAGCACAGCTCACCCTGGCCTGTTGGGAGAGCCGTCAAACACTGCGCTGAGCACCGCACTGCTCCCGAACGTTTTAATAAGGTTTATTGCCTGTTTTGTTGAAGCAGGAGACCTCGGGACTACAACATTGTGTTGCGGTAGGCATAACAAATGCTCCTTGAGAATAATAATACATTGGCTCACAAATTCTACAACAATCAATCTCATGCATTTTCTCCTACAGTACGTGCATTCTATCTGAATGATAGACTTGTAGGATTTTTAGCTTCTCAGCGATCTCAATCGTCCCTAGTTTCGTTATGAAGTTTTTGCACTGTGAGACTTGCAGGGAGGTTGTTGCATCTGGACGGTTTTATTTAAACAAAACGGGTGGGAGTCGAGTGCTGTGCGCTGGAGCCCCGGCGGGCGTGCGGTCTCACCTCCTGGTCCTGCCCCGCTGCTCAGGCCGGCCGCCCGGAGCTGCTGCACCAGCAGCCTGCGCGCAGAGACCGCGCGGGAGGGGGAGCGCACGGGCCGGACGAGCCGCTCGCCCGGCGCCTGGGGGTTCGGGCGAGAGAAAAAGAGTTCGGGTCACGAACGCCTGCACGCCACGGGAAAAGACATTTTAAAGGGGAACTGCAGCCGGTTATTAACTCAGCGCGCGGAATTAAATGTGCAGCAGGCATTTTTCACCATGAGAATGTGCCAACTTGGTCTGCACACGTGGTTAACAAGTAGGATTCGTCGGCAAGACCGTCTCGAAGTCCAAAACAATATTTCTATTGGATTACAAGAGATGAATTCACAAGTCTGCTTGTTTGCAAAGTCATAGGGCCGCTTTACGTCACTGAAAGTTTTGTTGCCTCATTCTGAATCGTAGTACTTGGCGCTGCTCAGACCTGGAAATTGTCTATTTTGTAGTGTAAATCGGAGGTTTTACAAGTTACTGTGTACATTTTACTTTTGTTGTGCTTTGAAATGCACTCATCAATGCTGATTTTTTCTAAACCCCCCTCCCCCCAAAATAGCATTGCGATTCCCATTTCCTTTACCATTTCTGCAGTTTTGTGTAACGACATAGTGATTAGAAAAGCGTGCTGGGAAACGTGTCTCACCGCAGGGCTGGAGATGCAGGCCCTAAGGTTGATGATCATGGCTGGCTGTGTGCTGACGATGGTGTCCCTCACCAGCTCCCCAATAGTGCCGAGATCCACCTTCCCATCATTCACCTGGGCAGCATAAACCACACAGACACGAACAGTAAGACATCATGTATAAACCGTCCCTTCCAGAAGGTTGGTGAACCCAAGGTTCAGTGTTTTTGATCTCCATATAACTATTTCAAAAACTTCCTCTCATTCTAAAGCAGTGTGCAAGCTGTAACATATTCACTGTTCACTAAAGGCGTCTGAAGTAGTCCAAATCCATCAATTCCTCTTGTACCTCTGCTCAGTAAAATCCCAGAACAAGACCACTAGTCGTGAGAAATTTAATTTCTTTTTAGAACGCGAGGGAGACAAAAGCTTGGAAAATGATCAGACTGTGTATTTTTTGCAGATAAGCCCTGGTCTGAGTGGACAAGCGCTGGGGTGTTTCCACAGCACTGCAGGCACTGGGGTTCCTGGCTCTTACGTCTTTCTGGATCCTGCGTGGGGTGACGGTGAGGGACAGCAGGGGTTGCTGGGAGAAAGTCCAGGACACCAGCAGGCCCTCTTCCTCCACCTCCTCCAGGCAGATGACCAACTGAAATAGGTGAAGACGGAGAGAAACACAGAGTTCAGTATGTGGTGTTCAGGTTACACTGGTATTGTGTAACCTTGTGCGGGCCAATTGAACCTGTTTCTTCAAGCTGTCAGCTGAATTCACGTCAGTCCAGGAACCCAGGTGCTGGAGCTGCCTGAGGTCTATCCACAGGGGGAGTAGTCCACAAGTCTTACACAGCACCCAGGATGCAAACTATTTTTATGTAAACAAAGCCAGCGGCGCCGCCATTTTGTGTCTGATTGAGTGCACCGTTTGTGCTGGTTTGAGTCTCCAGTGGGGTATGACACGTCTTTGAATGACCTTTTCTCAAGAGAAAGAAGTTTAGCTCAATATTTTAGCTCAGCCCAGGCAATTTCATTCTTGTTTTCAAGGAAAACAGGGTGATGGAATTCGGATTCTGCAACAGATTTTGATTACTACAATGGAAGTCATCTCATTTCCTTTCATTCGATAAAAAAATGCCAGGGTTTCGGGACATTGTCTCCCAGTTAGACGTACAGAGACGGGAAGGGGACAACTGAGCGATCGTGTTGCGAAAGACGAAGCACAGAAACTGGGCAGCACCTTAATCCATCTGCCCTGCACTTCACACAGGCTTGTTTTCACACACGCACTCTTACCCACAAATGCAAACCCTGCACATCCCTCTTACCTGAGCTTCCATGGGCGCCATGGCGACCTGATAAGTATCCAAGGAGACGGCAGCGGGTGACTGCTGGGTGACCGTCACTGGGAAGGCCACTGTGTCCACCGCGCAGTGGCACTGCAACACCTGTGAGGGAGAAAACCAGAGACGGAGAGAGAAAACCAGAAATAGCGTCAGGTTATAGAAGGGGTGTCCGGTAACCTCTCCAATCCGAGCTCAAAGTGCTCTCTGGCTCTGGGGACACGTTTAGGAGGAGGCACAAGTTAAGAGCTGGGCTACAATTTGTTTTGAGATGCTCAGTGCCTTGTTTAAAGACTTTGAGACTTTAACCATGGTACAAGCCTCCTCAAAAGTCAATGGAGGCACCGACAGACACCCAGACGTCTTTACACAAAGGGTTGTAGTAAAAGCTACCCAATTATGGTCTTAAAACTCAGACCCTGGCTTCTTCAAATTGAGTCGATGAGATGAATCGATCTTCGGGTTAACTACCTAACAATCAGGCAAGATGGGCCAAATGGCCTCCTCTTATTCGTAACCTTCCTTTTGTACTGATATTCCTGTGACCACCCAGGCATGGTGGGCAAGGCAGGGAGCTCACCATGCTCTGCTCTGATTGGTCCGTGCAGGTCACATGACTGATGGAGGCCGAGGAAGGGAGCTGGAGGCTGTCCTCAAAGGTGATCTGGATGGAGCTCTGAGGAGAGGAGAGGGAGGGCCCGTATCATTATGAGGTAAAACATTGTTTCCAAATGACCTATCTGATGTTCTAATATCTCCTCTAACATATTCAAAGTGAGGACCATTGACATTAGACTGCATAGATGTATAGCTCAGCACTGACCAAAACACCAGAGTGCACAAAAGGAGATGAACAATTAATCTGATGGTATTCCACTTAAAGAAGCATTACAGGCCTGGACCTGCAGAGGAACCATAGGAGATCCTAGCCCATGCAGTTTAGACGCAGTCACCTCCCCAGTCTCAGATCTGTAGTTTGCTTCACATCAAAACAAACATGTTGCCCAGCAACCTACCACAGCCCCAGCCCTGCCGAATCACGACCCTGTACAAGTACTGACCCAGAAAGATCCAAACCGAGTGGCTGTATAACATGAAGTCACCTTTTCCTACCCCTTCCTGCATGATTTCGTGCAGCACATAAAAAGGATTCAGAATAAAATAGGACGGTGGACTTCAGAAGTGAGGTTAGCTGACGTGGCTGTACAACCCAGTGGGGCCATCAGGACTGTGGGGTGGGACAGGACACCAGGAGCAGGATGTCCTGCCGTTCACAAGAGTGTCTCTCCTGCCTTCTCAGTGTCCCTCAACCACCAGATTAGCCGCACCGTTCAAAGAGCTCATTCGGCAGCTTTAATCAGGTAATACAACCGGCTCAGGAGGGCTTATCAAATCCCATTGTCACGAATTACACTCGCCATCCCCCTCCTTCACTCCCGAACTTTCTTTCATAGACCAAAGAAAAGAAAAATAAAGGTTATCCCTTAATATACAGCGAGTCTGTCTATATATACACACAAATTACCGGTACATCCATGTGTGCTATTTTAAACCAATTTATGGCCTTGACTCAACAATAAATTAGGATGTATTACAATGCCTCAATTTACGATAAACTAATGAAAGGTAGTGTTTCCTTTCAGATCTCATTGCTTTGTTTAAATAACTGAGAATGAATCATCTATGCTAATTTCATTATTCTGGCCCTTCCTTATCTTCGTCACTGTTTATCACATATATACAGTACATGTATGCATGCTGCTTCTGCAGTAGGTACTGTAGGAGAAAAAGATTTCATAATCTCGTCTTGCAATACACAGTAAATCCAAGCTCTGACTAAGCTAAATGCAAACAAGGCCCTTCAGATATATTTGCATGAGCCCAGGGCTTTTCACTTTGCAAATCGCAGCACTCATTTCACGAACGGCAGTGGGGAGAAAAATGAACACGCCTTCCGCAGACTTCAAGGAATGTGTTTCAGGCACCTTAATGCAGATGCTTAATAACCACGTGGGGAACAACGCACTGGCCGAGTCAGAGCACAGAGGTGCTTAATAAAATGGTTTAAGCGCTGATCCTGTCAGCGCAGCAGGGGAAGCTGGGAAGGCTGCACAAAGTGTGCTCAGCTTTGAAGTGTCCGTGGGTTGCCAATTTCCATACAGAGTCGCACATTTGCAAGAGTGGCCAACCCGCACCTGGAAAGAGAGTATCATTTTGCAGTAGGAGGCTAAGAGGGGGTGTTTGGATTTCGGGGTCACCCTGGGCTCAGCAGCAGCGTGCTGTCCACAGCCCCGCCCTGCTGCAAGAGGCCTCGGGGCACACCAAAAATATCAACCCCCTGAAGGCAGAGCTCGACCCATCCAGCACAGCGCCGCAGTGTTTTCTTCAGGAGTGAGCGCGCAGGCCTGCGTTTCTGATCGCACAGGCTGACTTTTATGTGTCGATGCCAGGAAGGCAAAAATAGATATGTGCCTTGTCCTAAACCCCAGAGTGACACCAGCCGATGTCTTCAAAATACAGCCTATCTTAGGGAAACGTTTCAAACACACAGACTCGTGCATAGCAACAGAGATTCCCCTGCACAAAAGGTGTTCCCCTGCACAAAAATAGTGAGATATGAGCACCCAGCTCGATCTGTTTTTCTGATGCTAAATGAATCCACTTTTCTTAGTCTCCTCAAGGACCTGCTACACTCAGAGGGTGAAGCACTTGGATTTTTTAAAAAAGTGCAGTTGTCCTGCAGCTCCAAAACCCTTTAGAAGCCCCCAGGCAAAAGGTACAATTGAACAGTCACCTGCAGAGCTCTTAATCTTTAATGTCTTAAAATTCTGGACATTTCCAGCACATAATTACAGTCCTGTGTTTCCATGAATAATGTGCACTGTGTTTCTCCACAAGCATGTAATATGACATTCCTATTAGAAGCAGCATTGTACAGTAGTGCATGGAAAACAAGAGTATGACATTTCCAGTAACATTAGGCCTTTTAAGATGAGACGTGTACAGTCCAAAAGCCATCCAGTTCACCTGTCTAAAGTCTAAATTTGGTCATCTGTTTTAAATATAGTGGCTATGGCACTGATGTGGGCAACTGAAGTACCTGTATGGCATTTCTCAACCCCTTTTCCCTTTTTTCTGTTCTAGAAATGTTCCTGCACTCCTAGGTCCTCATGTTTGCTGGCTGAGGAGGCGTAGCTGGGTTCGTAGATGAAGAGATTTGTATAAAAAAATCAGGTTTGCATTAAGTCTAGCACAGCAAAAGTGTGTTGAGAGGCACAGGACCACCCGTATAAAAATGCTTCACCCACTCATACATGTTTTAGACTCTGTTATTATTAGGAAATGAGACTAGTACATTCGCGACCTTGGGATATTGTTTGCAAGTGTACGCAAGTAGAAAGTCAAATGGGACCAAACTGTGGACAAAACGGGACCTCTTTTTTGATTAATCCTGCACAACAGGCACATGCAGGACACAGCTCTGCAAGCCTCTTTTCACAAGGGAGCAAAAGCATCGTGTCTCATTCGGCACTCACACATGCCCATGTGCTCCTTATGTCAATAATGCCGTGGCGCACACTGGGCAAAGATGCAGTGGATTGGTCTGAACCCCCCTGTTAAAGCAGTGTCCCTAAACGAGTGTCTGCAGGGGGAAACTGAGAAGCACAAATGCATCTTCCAGACCCATTCCCATCCTGCCTCTCTGTGCAGCAAATGCAACACAAGACCAAATTCCCAGCTTTACAGCCAACGGTATCCATACAGGCAATGAAGGAGTAAAAGTCTGGCAAAAGATTTCCCTCTGTCTGGTTTGGATGACAAGAATGCAGGCTAAATCAGCTGTTATTCTTGAAACAAGGCTGAATCAATGATACAAGCATGATAAATGTGTGCAAAATAGCTGTAGGGCTTTTACGTCCCTGTATCCTAATCACTGCTCTAAAAAATTGCTGGAGGAAAAGCCATTGGTAATTCCCTGGTATGAAATGGATCATCTGAAAGGACTGATTTGCAAGGACTGAATAAAGACAGATGTTGGCCTGAGTCTAAACTGTCACCTATAGGCTGCTTATCTATGAGCGCTTGTGTCTAGTGATAGGGATGCAGCTCAGCTTGCGTGGTGCTGTGTGCCCTGAGAGGGCGTCCTGTCCGTAACACCACACATTGGCCAGCTGTGCCATGGCCGTCTGCCAAATCCCAGGATTACAGAGGTAGAAAGCTCCTTAGCGCTTCTGTGGGTTTTTTTGCACAGCCAGGCTTTGAAGGTGGAGCTGTGCACTGTCACAGCGTGGGAGTCAACAGCTGCACTGCTCCTGCTTCGGCGCGGCGCAGGTTCGAAACTCTTCCAAAACAGTGAACCCCCCCCACTACGGTTACTATATTACCAACAATTATGATGGTCGAAGGGGAAAAGCTCACCAGGATCAGTGTATTTACACCAGTCATCATCGGCACTTACATCTCAATCAGTACAGTGCCCTCCAGAATTATGGGCACCCTTGGTAAAGATGAGCAAAAAAGGCTATGAAAAAATGTCTCTGTTGTTTATCGGTTTGATCTTACACTGAAAATATGAGAAAAATCTAACCTTTCAGTGAGGTACAATTATTCAAAGAAAAAACTAAATCGTTTTTTTTCATAGCCTTTTTTGCTCATCTTTACCAAGGGTGGCAATAATTCTGGAGGGCACTGTAAGTGCTGATTAAGAAGGGAAGATGGTCTGACATCTCCCAAAACATATTACACATTAGGCAAAGATTTTACTCTTTTTGCCATTTTATTTTACAGCTCAATATTTAGGATTCAAAAGTCACCCCATGCAAGACTCGTGTAAGGAGTTTTGCTTTCAATTGCAGTGCTTTCTTTTTGTTGCACCCAAAACTGTTTTAATTGTAATATTGTGAGCTTAGTTTAGCTGAATCCTTTGAAGACCCCAACTCAAAAATGTTGAATGAATCTGTGTTTATTCTATTATTGCAACGAAAACAAAAACAACAACATACATCAGGCATACAGCTAGAAACCTCTTCTGCACCAGTAATTTGACTCAGGCCTCAGATTCATTCCGCTACTTCTGATCATGTGAAGGTACACACTGAATGAAGCAGCACTTTTCTCCTGATTTCAAGTCATGTTACCCCCCTGTTGGTTCTCAAGATAATAGGTATTGCTCATAATGTCTTTCTTCTGAGTTGTAACACTATACCACACCACACAGCAGTGCTCAGTTGCCTGACTACCCTCCTCAGCATGTAATTTGAAGTGCAGCCAGTTGAATGAACAGGGCAGCCAGGTAACAACAGTAAGGTGCCCGTTAGCCTCTTGGGCCAAACAAGACTTGTTAAATCGGCAGTTGAATGCTCAGAGACAATGTGCTTTTGTACAGCGGTGTTGATGCAGCTAACTTTTTTGGTCTTGATCAACACAGTTTTGAGGGTCAGTGATAAATACCACCCACAAATACAGTATGTCTTCCACCTCCTGCTGTGTTGTTATATGATATGATGTAGAACAATGCAGTTTTTGCACAGACAGCCAGAATAAGGAACTTTGTATTTCTGATGAAGTCATGTGGAATTATTTCCTTGGCCATATACAGTATAATAGGTTTTAAAATGTGGCCATTTTCTGTCCCACAGTTCTCAGGCTTAACTAAGCAACCTTTTCATTGTGTCTATGCTACAGCTTCCCAAGAAACAGACAGATGGTCAAACCTTGTCAGCCATCTTGCGACTCCATTGGTGAACAGACCATAATTCAGTCCAGATGACACGACAAAGTAGGAAAAACGTTTTCATAACACTTTCTACGCAGTCCATTTTGATTTCTCATCTGTGATCCCAAGGTGACTCTAGGAAGTATTGTGTTTGAAGAGATGTGTAGGTAAATCATGGCTTTAAGAAAATAGAATGTGTTGTAGTAATTAGATGTGCCTATAGCCTATAGCAGAAGGTGTTGAGCAGCTCAATGAATGAGTGTGAGTCTACAGTGTTAAGAGTACTGAACCACACTGTGGCAGATCGATGGTTAGTGTTGCAGGTGTTTTTAGGCTCTGTGCAAGAGTGTTGATTTGCAGTGTGTTCAGTAGTTCAGAGGGTTCAGCAGTGGGCTGCTGTGCAATAAGTAGCTCAGCGTGAGAGAGCTCAGCTGCACGGTGTTCAGTATCTCCATGTTGGGAGTGCCGATCTGCAGTGTGCCCCTAGCTCAGCCTGGAAGTGTGGATCTGCAGTGTGTTCAGCAGCACAGTGGGTACAGTGAAGGCCTGCAGGCTGCGAATGTGTTTGCGAATCTCAGTGGCTAGCAAGCGCTGTTTAAAAGTGTCAAGAGCTTGGGAGAGAGCAGGGGAGAGCTGCACTAATGCAGGGGAGGCTGTTCAAGGAAGCTGTCATCACAGGCGCTCAGGCCTGCCTCTGAGCAATGAGGGAGAGAGAGAAGGGGAATCAGCTGGGTATGTTACTGCACAGAAAGGGGGGGTGGGGATGTAGGGGTGAAAAGGCATAAAAGCTTTGAATTCAGAGCCTGAATTAACTCAAGAACCGGGCTGCTTCAAATTCGACAATGTGGATCCAGACAAAATGAACTACTTGGGCTGTATTAGATTTGCGCCTTACTTTAAAAACCTCTAAAGCAAAAAAAAACAAACAAATTCTAAATGCATTGCCTGTATGCACACAATGCATTTAAATGACCCTGCGATTTGTTTAGGACTATAGAAATATACTTCCAATTTGAGAATATTTTCATTGAAACACTGAAGTGTAAATGTTTATTGCTCAAGCACAAATCCCCCCCTTTTTTTTAAACAGACCTTCCTCATCGTTTCTCAAACAGGCTCACAAAACTATGCTCCAAACTAGGCTATCTCCATTGTTTAGGTGACAGGATTATGGCAAGTCCAGTCTTCCGAAACGAGTGAAAATGTGGGAACGCCAAACAGTAAACGAAGCAGGTATCTGGGTTGTTATACAGTACATAAGACACAGAGGAACTTCTGCTGTCTCTGCATTCTTTCGACAGTGCTAATCAACTGTATTCACTTTTTTGTTGGGGGATGCAGAGCTGTCTAGTAAGCAAGAAGCAACAGAACTGGTCAAAAGATGACATTATTTGACAGGCTGGTGTCACTGGAATTACTTTTGAATGCGCCGAAACCTCTGATATTGCCCTCAGCTCAAGTGTGTCATTCCGTACAAACTTGCAAGTCTGGTTTGTCAGGTCCAAGGTATTTACACACACTGTGCTGCGAGTGAATGAGATCTTGTGGTTATGGGGGATAGGCCAGACCAGTCTCTGTTCTGCAGCCAGTGACAGGCTCACGTGACATGGACAACAAAACAAAGGGACTCTTAGTACCATTGGAATTAATACCTTCCCTAAAAGACAAGACTAACCTGATGCCTAAGTGATCAATGGCATTTGAATCTGGCAGTGATTAACCCGGCGAAGAGGTTTTCAGGAATGTCTCCCTCTATCGCAAAGCTGAATTCTCAAAATACAGCCGCTTGTATCAAAACAAAAGCCAGCCCTGGGCCCTGCTGATGAGCATACTCATGGTGACTGTTCTGTGGGCTGACTGAGCTTCTGGCCCAACAGCATTCCTCCCCGAGCAGCAGGTAAATACCTGGCATTTATTACTGCACCTCTCACTAGGTGTTACGTTTTATATTCCCCTGTTACAGCTCTTCCCAGGGGGCCACAGGTTTGTGTCCTGTGTGGACTCTCCCCAGCTCCCTCAGCCTGTCAGGTGGGATCGTGCGAGTCACTGCACACAATCAGCACTCTTCCACAGCGCTGGCTGTCTTACACAAACGCACAGGTCTGGTTTGGCTTTTAAAATAGCAAGCTCTAAACCACCTCGCGAAAACGTTAAATCTGTCCAGGTGAGCCTCTAATCTGAACGCTTTTGACTTCATTTGGAGCTTTGAGGTCGATCAAAAGCCACAAGCCCTGTGGCCTATGAGAACTGTCATATCCAGCCCCTGTTCTCTATCAGCTGTTCTTCTGAATATAAATCACCCCCCTTTTTCAAATTTGATTTAATCGGTTAATCGGTTAACATCGGTATTAAACTGAAAAAAAAAACTGATATCAAATAGTGCTGAACCAAAAAATGTTTCTTGGATTGTAAGACTTTTCGGATAGAATAGCTGTAACCGGAAAGAGTTGGGAATCCTGGAAATGACATGAATTTAATTGATGAGTAATCTCACCCTGCCTGTGCAGTAAACGTCATTTCAAAACCTCTATAAAAATAAATCGCATTTTTTTTATGAAGGCAATCTGACACCTTTGGCCAGTGAGAATTTCCAGACTGATCTCCTGGTAGAATTCCATTTAAAGCTGCGTTGCATCTGCCTGAAGCACCAAATATCCAAAGTACCTATAATAACCACTGCAAAGTGGATCTTGTAGAATAGGTTGGAAAGTGTACAAAATCCGCAGAAGTCAAAAACACACTCATGATTTTGATCATGCAGAATCAGCATTGTGAAAAGTCTGGTTTGCATTGTGGACTTGAAGTCACGTTTTCTAACTTCAAAGCAAGTCACCAAAAGAATCCATAGTTAATGTTAATATAGGAACATGTTCATAAATGGCAAATAAACTATCACAGGTCAAGGGTGTGTGACACATCATCAGAGCCCTGCTGTGGTGTGAGAGCCCTCCTGCACAAACGTCTGCTCTGATCCCAGCGAGTTCTATTGCCTCACACATGGGTGGCCGAAAGGGTAGCCTGCCGATTTTATTTCATGTCCATGGGGCATCTCGTCCCGGCTTTTATATGGAGAGATCAAGTGCAGGGGAGGAAAAACAAAACAGAGGGGAGGACCTCTGAAGAGTAGATGCTCCTGCCACAGCCAGTGGGTGCAGGGGAGAGGGAGAAGGGGGGGAGGGGGGGGAGCGGGGGGTGACTATTTTCTGGTGGGGACAGTAACTGTGGTCACCATTGGCGCTCTTGTGTTCAGCTCCCCTTGCCCCTGCTGGGATCTTGCCCCTACCCTGATCTCTCGCAGGCTCTGACCTAGCACAGCACCGCTCTCTAGACAGTGGTTAATTCCCCTATGCCAAAAGGCCAGTCCCCTACTGTGGCTGAGTATTACACTGTCTAGATATCACAGGAGGGTGGTGTCACTTCTGGGGCTGCTACTTGTGCATGTCTGACGAAGTTTGCATTGACTTTGGTGCACTTTCTTGATCTTGAAAGCGGCTCAAAGACGTTAGAAAGTGATCCCCTGCACAACCAGTGCTTTGATTGCTCGTGTCGCTATTTTTGAGGTGACTCTGTAAATGCCTGTCCCCCCGAGTAAAAACATGCTACAGGCTGCAATGGCTAGTGTATTTGTCAGTTCTGGCTTGTGTGTGCCTCACTATATCTCTTCTTACTGGTTTGTGAAGAGATGAGAAATGGGTTCCAGCTCTTGCCCAAGTCAAGTTTCTGTGGGTCTGGGGGTCTGCCCTTTGTGTAGCTGAGTTTGTCTGCTTGTGTTATTCAACATTTGTCTTCTCTTTATTGCATTTTGTATTGCAATACAAAAATGAAACTTTGCATGGCCTAAAACAGTCCAGGTTTTGACTTTACAGTAAATTAACAATAGTCTGTGCCACTTATATGTAATTACATTTCAGAAGCACTAACAAGAGGAGATTAAAATGTTAGCTCCGTGGTTCATTTTAAAAATGACTACTTTCCCTCTTTATTGTCGTCATCTCCTTCATCTGTAAAACAGATGAGCACAAGAGCACAGTGTACAGATAAGCAACATGCCCACATATCATGTCCTAAAACTCCCACCACCCATCAATATCGCTGCGCCCACACAGACAGCACTGGGCATCTCTTGTGCTGACGAGAAGTAAGCTGCTGTAAATCAACACTTATCGACAGACATTGGCATTGGCCCTTACTTACAAATGATATTGCAAACTACCACCCAAAGTCTAAGCACATAGATTCACGGTAGAGCATACTGAAAGCAATATTAGAGCATGATAGAAGTTTAAAAGTGAGACGGTTTCGCTTGTCACTGTAAAGGGCGGCTTTAATTTGCGGAATCCAGCGATGCTTTAAGGTAAAAAAAAAGAGACATTTAATTCATTTTCCCAAAGAAAACATTTGAAGCTGACATACTGTATGAATAGAAATGCATTCATTTTGACAGGCAGTCCGAAATATCTACCTATTCAATAATGATGTCCGTTTGAAGGATATTGCGTCTTCATCCGGCATCACACCAAGATCCCCCGCCCGCTTTGGGAATGTCACACACTCACCCCATTCCGACACGCTTGCTCGTTGAGGGCTCGAACCCAGGTCCGCTGCCAGTTCTCCCGAAACGACTTGAAGGCGAACAGGGATGACAACAGGCCCTTCACCCCTGCCTCGCTTTCGCCGCTGACCCCGCTTCCTCCGTCCAGCCCGAACCCCAGCTTCAGTAGGGAGCCCCACACGCCCCCGGCGCGGATCTGGCGAGGTGCGGTCCCGGGCACAGAGACCGAGCCGCTGCGCTGGTAGCCCAGCCGGCCGGTCCGCCGCCGCAATACTCCCCTCGAATACTGCACCAGCCACGAGAGGACAGTCAGGACGGAGGCGAAGAAGAGCGCAACTAAAAGGAACCAGCTGACATCCTGAAGCCGTACTAGTGCCATGCTTAATATCCACCCTTATCCAAGTACTGGGAGCTGATGCTTGACGTGCAGTCCGAGTGCGAATTCAGCAAAAGCCAAAACAAAAAAAAAAGAGAACGCCTGCTTCTTTTTCCTTCTGTTCTTCACGATGTCCTTAGGATGATGATAAAATGAAATATGTCAGTCATCTGGGGCGCAGTCACAAATTATAGGAATGGCAAAGGATGTTTGAATTAGACATCCGATGTTTGAAAAGGGCATCCGAAATGAACCTATAGCTGAGCGTGAGTTAAATAATATACAGCATTCAATGTATGAACAGTGCGGTAAACGTAATGTATATTCATATCATTTATGATGTACGATAGATAAACGTGCGTTAATACACAAATATTCTCACAGGCTTACGTTAATGCAACAATGTCATTAAATGTCTCTGTGTTTAATATTCGCATATTCGGTGGTCTCCAGCACACTTTCAGCTGCAGGGCGCTTTCTGGGGTCGCCCTGGTTATTTGTGACCAAGAGTGAAATAAAGTCTTCCTCTCCTGTCGAGAGTTTCGCGTGTGTTTAGACAACTGGGGTCCTGGCGTCATGTTCTTGACGTCGAGAAAGATGCATGGCTGAGGTACAGTATGCAAAGTGCACAAAAAAATAATGAAAGAATGAAAAAAATCCGTCCTCTGTGTCTACCCTTCGTTTCGTTGTCTCGCTCGTGGGTTTTTTTTGTGTGTGTGAAAACCAGTTTCCCCACTGACCACTTTTAGTCTTGAGAATTTACCAGCGCAGGTGTTTCAGTCCGTCCAGGTTATATCGCCTTACATTGCTCCGGTTAACGTCCCACATTATTTCAGAATCCACATTCAGACCCGCTCCCTCGGTCTTGTGTAATATTCCATTGATGCAAGGAATTTGCGTAGTTGATTTGATAGTATTAGCTGCAACGTGGGTTATATCGATATTGTCACCCCTGGATGTTTTTTTTTGTTTTTGTTGTAGCCGTGTTCAAATAATAACCACAAATGTCCATCAAATATAATCGCGTCAGTAGTTACAGTATCATTAATAGCTAGTGGGTTAGGATTATTTACGAACGCTACATCTAAACGGCAACCTATGCAACCAGTTTTCCTTTTTTAACAAAAAAAAATCATTGTCAAGGTTTAATACGCAGTAATGCCAGCGTCTGTAGAGCAAGCACGACACTAGTAATAATTTAGATACATTATTTTGTATATATCTTCCTTTTTAAATTCTCCCCCCTTACTCTTCGTCTCCGGGCTGTGCCCACAGTGCCGAACACCCAGCGAGGAAGCTGTAATCTTAACTCCTTGTTTTCTTGTATAGTTACGGTTTCCACTTCAGCCGAAAACGATACGGTTGGTATCCTCAGAGGCTGCGAGTCCCTGTGAACAGCGCTCCCGGAATAGCGACTGGAGCCCTCTCGTAGTCAGAGGGCCATAATCGGGAATGCGCAGGACGCAGAGCTGTCAAATCGCAGCACAACAGAGAGCGCACAGCACACAGTTAAAGGGGCAGGCACACTTTTTCAACCACGTCCATAGTGGCAGCTACTCGCGTAGGCATTAGTAGGACACTTGCAAACCGTGTAGGTGTTAAAAAAAAAGATCCCCGCCCAAATAATTACAGTACTGAGAAACCAAATGGTACTCATTTTCTAGAAGGGTAATGAATGCTTTTGAGCAACTTTACCAATCGTGCAGTAACGACAATGCGTTTTGAGGAGTAGTGCTTTCAAGGACAGCCGCAATTCAATGCAATTTAGGTCTTGGCATCAAACATTTTCAGTGCACTTTCAATTCTGGAAGCACCTTTCGGGCGTCTTCTAGCAACAGCTACGAGTTATGGAGCCCGCTGGTCCAGGTTATTAAAAAAAAACATAATGAAAATGTGTAGTACTTTATGAGAAAGGAATTATCTCAATTCACCCCCCATTTCAGTTAACCCCAGAGACATAGCGCATAATTGGCCTTGTAGTTAATATATTCAAAACTGTCTATAACGAGTCAAGGTCAATGCGATTAACAGTCTACACTGTACAAGCAAATCTGCCTCTCATTAAGTCGATAATTTCAGCAGTTCAAATTGGTCTCTTCTAAAATAATGAACAAGGTACCGAGGCTTAAGAAAACAATGTGTGCAGGCTGTTCAATAAATGGTACAATATACTTGGAAGGGGTTAATTTAGCTAACTGTATACGGATCAATGACAAGAGAAATGGGTTCTCCTTTAACAAGATTTGCTCTCTGACTCGGTAGATTTCCACGACGTTCATTTCCTCGCTTCCTGACTGGCAAAAGGCACAGAAGCCAGAGAAAACTGTGCTCAAGCATAACATGAAACTTGATGTGTGCCGATTTGTTTTCTTTACATTCTTTACATTCTTTTCTTTACATCGTTAAAAAGTAGGGTGTGTTGCTGCACAGTTCCCCTACATGGAAAATGGGGGGATGCTACACATTAGAAATGTCTTTCGCAGAATTAACAAAAAAAAAGTAAAGGCAATATCTAATGCCTCTAATATCTAATAGCAAATTTAATGCAGCTCCTGATGTAAATCACAAAGAAGACCACATATTACAATTTCTTTATCGACAAAGACTTCAAAAATGGTCAGAAAGCAGTTTTTTCGCACTTCCTAACGCGTAATTCAAAAACTGCAGTATTTCTCGCCGTAGAACAGCAGGTGCCAGCAGAGTGACAGGACAACACAACGACTTCCTTCACGGTGCAACCACCAAATGTATCCGGCGAGGGCAATGCGACGTTTTCATGGGAATTACAAGATTTTAAGCAGAATGTGAGAGTCCAAACAAACATGGCAGCGATATAGCCTCTTTTCCATATATCATGCGTTAAAATAACGGTTTGGAACAACCATACAGCTTTTTAATGAAAGCAAAAATATTATCGGAAGTAGACGTGTAACTAGGGAAGCGGTCCCAGGGCTCGACTAGGAACAAGGGCGGAGATCGAGAACCTTTGTATTAGCTGTCAAGTTGCAATTTACTGTGGAATAATTTCTCCCGTCTGTCTGAATGACACTCGATCATGCCATTAATGCTAGCGCTTGTCATCACTTTTTTATGATTTTTGGATGAGCTGCGTATGAATTTGGAAGAGGGTCACGACAGGAGCTCTCGTCAATGTGGGAATAAGTATCCGGAGAAAAAGTGGACTGAATGAAAAAATGCACAACATGGAAATATAAGTGGACGGTTGTAAATTGTAACATGTACATTTAGAAAAAGCTTTATAAATGGTGTCAAATGACCTTCAGTCTTTAGGAATAAATGACAGAAAACTGTCTACGTGGGCTAGATTAAGATACGTGGTAGCTAAAACTAGTTCAAAGTTGGACGCCCCTAGGGCTACGTAACGCAGACTAACACGATGTCAGCCGCTAGATAACGGACAACATTTGTACAAGTTCAGATGAGCCTTGCTAACAGCAGACGTAGGACACCTAGGAGTGAAAAAAAAAGACAATTCCGTTTTGCGTTAGCTTTCTGTTTTTGACGGTTTCGCCTGGAGCCTAATATCAGTGTTTATAAAGATCAGCCGACGTGTTCTGCAAAAATGTCACCCCTACCCGCCTTCCCTCTCCTCATCAACATCTGCATGTCGGCTGTGGGGTTCTATGCTACCTTAAAACTGATCCCCGCTTTCAGGGAACATTTCATCTCGGCCAGGCTGTACGGCGTGGACCTGAACAAGACCACCAAGAAGGAGATGTGAGTGCGTTGCTGTTACTCCCATTAAACTAAAGCAGTCTTTGATGCAAGTATTAGAAGTATTACAGTAATATCGCTCCTGGTCCAGTAGCACGGTTAGCTGAATTAGATGTCGTCGTTTTACTGTAGCAGATGCTAAGTAATGCATTTAAGCACATGCTTTGAGATTCCAGGGGAATCAACTTCACATGACACCAGAACCACGAGTCACGTTGCTAATCACTGGTAGAGGGGCTGAAATCCGCACTCTGACGATTTAAATTTAATCTATTTTGGCATTTCCTTGCATTTCTACTTGAGTCTGGACTTTTTACATCCACTGAATTATGTTTTTCTTTTTAGCAGAGACTTTCTCTGCCAGGGGTATTTGTTACCTTCTGCTTTGTGTACCGGAACCTTCCTAACAACATAATCCCCCCCCCCATACTCTTCAACTTTGTTTAAAGGCTTAAAAAATGAAAAGACTAAGAATTGAGCTTATGCAAATGTGGCTCGGGAGCTTCATGTTATGATTTTTAAACTTGGTGACGGCCCAGTGACACTGTCTGATGATTTGCTCTAGTGCCGTTGTGGTTCTCAGCACGAAAAATGTTCCCGTTAAATCAGAATATGGCCGCCTGGCGGTTTGTCTTCCCCAGCCCCGAGTCTCAGGGAGTGATCAGTGGCACGGTGTTCCTCATCATCCTCTTCTGCTTCATCCCGGTGCCCTTCCTCAGCTGCTTTGTGGAGGAGCAGTGTCAGCGCTTCCCCCATAATGAGGTGAGAGGGGCCACAGACCACGCTCAACAAGACACGATTGAAATCTGGAGACTTTGTCTTAATTTGAAAAAACGTCCATATCCACAAAACAAAAACATTGTATCTAGTGTTCCGGTGTTTTTTTAAAAAGTGCATTTGAGTTTAGTTATTTTAATGTACGTTGGGTTTACACCTGCCCTGGATTGTAATGCCCTCTGTACTGTATTTTGCTTGGTGGCACTTTATCGTCAAGAACGCGCCCCATGTGGGTAAATTAAGGCTTAAGCTGGTGCAAGAGCCAGTGCTGGTCAGGTCCGCAGGAACGCTGGGCCGGAGCACGAGTGAACTGGAGTGAGTGGTATGTCAGGTCTGCAGGAACGCTGGAGTGAGCTTTCTCTCCCCTCAGTTTGTGCAGCTGATCGGCGCGCTCCTGGCGATCTGCTGCATGATCTTCCTGGGCTTCGCCGACGACGTGCTCAACCTGCGCTGGCGCCACAAGCTGCTCCTGCCCACCATGGCCTCCCTGCCCCTGCTCATGGTCTACTTCACCAACTTTGGGAACACCGTCATCGTGGTGCCCAAGCCCTTCCGCAGCCTGCTGGGCCTGCACCTGGACCTGGGTGAGTTCGCCTTGCTTACAATAGAGTAGTGCTTAGGTGTCTGGATCTGTAACTGGAAGGCTGTGGGTTCAAATCCCAGGTGGGATGTTCAGTGTTGTTCAGTGTTCATTGAGCAGGGCCCTTTCTTCAGATTGCTCTGGTAAATATATAAATCCTATATGCTGCTATATAAATGGGGCTAACATTCTATATTCTATATATTCTATATTGTCATAGGAAATGCTCATTTATTCTCAGTTGGCTCATCTGGTTAAATTAAAGGTTTCTGATTGTTGCAGGTATCCTCTACTATGTGTACATGGGCATGCTGGCCGTGTTCTGTACCAACGCCATCAATATTCTGGCAGGGATCAATGGCATTGAGTCTGGCCAAGCCCTGTTCATCTCTGGCTCCATCATCCTCTTCAACCTGCTGGAGCTGAACGGTGAGGGGCTGAAGGAGCCATCCGAGACTCTTAAAGCCACAGACAAAGAAATTTTGCTCATTCTGTACACCCTCTTGAATTTGTATTGCCATTATAATTATAGATCACATCATTTTTTTCCCAGTTTAAATGATCTACTATGCAGTATGTATTCCACTGGGAAATGTAAAAGAATTAAGAATTTGCTTATCCACTCATCTCCCACATTCACCTTCTCGATCTGACCTGTAATGAATCAACCGTTTGCTGCTGTCTCTTACAGGGGACTACAAAGACGACCATGTTTTCTCCCTTTACTTCATGATCCCTTTCTTCTTCACCACGCTGGCTCTCTTGTACCACAACTGGTGAGGCCCCGCTTATTCACCTTAAGCACTGGAATGTGAAACACAAGCGGAACAGTTTTTTTCTCCAAACAGAACCGCACAAGACCAAGAGTGAAACGAGAAGACCGTGAAAGCACATTTAAATGCAAAACCTAGCAAGTTGAGAAACAGATTAGGTTTTTCCAAACATTTAATTAAAAAAGCTATTGAATGAACACTTTAAAATGAATCAAAAAGTCGGGACAACTACCATAAATTGAGGTTGATAAGATTCTTGTATGAAGCACACTGTGACTATGCTGTTTATGTGTCTCTACCTCTCAGCTTGATACCTAGATATGCCGGTACATGCAAATTAAATTCACAATTTTTACAATTACCATTGTTCTGGTCTTCCCTCTCTTAAAATCAGGAGTTATCTGCTTGCTGAAAATGCAACTAGGGATATTACTCCTGGTCTAAATTCTTGCATTCAGGCTTTCTGGGTGAACCATAAAAAAGGCTTGAGTGCAGCCAGAGCTGGAATTCTAGAATTCCATTCCGCTAGACATTAGAGAACAATAGACAGGCAGCGTGAGTTCTTTTAAGTCGAAGTCGACAGTTTTTCTTTAGTAGCGGGCTGGGGTGCTCAGGCTTAAAGAGCACTGCTTAGAAATAAATTTACTTCAATATTGTTTCCTCCCCCCCCCCTTTCCTCTGCATGGTTTGCTCCAGGTACCCATCCTCTGCCTTCGTGGGAGATACCTTCTGTTACTTTGCGGGGATGACCTTTGCTGTGGTGGGGATCCTGGGCCACTTCAGCAAAACCATGCTGCTGTTCTTCATCCCCCAGGTTCTCAACTTCCTGTACTCCCTGCCCCAGCTCTTCCACGTGGTGCCCTGTCCTCGACACCGCCTGCCCAGGTAAAGCAGCACGCCACAAGTGGGCGTTGTTAAACGAAAGGAAGATGACAGCGAAACAGTTCACAGAAGCTCACACCTCATCTCTTGTACTTTGTCCTTTTCACTTCCTGTCACGTCAAGGCTGAATCCTGTCACTGGGAAGCTAGAAATGAGCTATTCCAAGTTTAAAAGCAAGGACCTGTCCAGGCTAGGAGAACTGATTCTGAAGGTATGTCTCTCATGCGTATTGATCAAAATCTATCTGAAACGTATCTCTGTTAATGTCTTGTGAGTTTGAGATCTTAGTTCTCTTCAGCAGCTGCATCTAGGATGTGTACTGTGGAAGAATGAACAATTTTAGACTCTGACTCTCTGTGTTCATTAAAAATCCCAGGGTGTTTCTCAAAAAGAGTAGGGGTGTAACCCCAGTTTCCTGGCCAAATTTCCCATTTGCACTTATCACTCGTGGCCTCCTAATAATCCCCATCTATGAATTGGCTTCATCCCTCTGTTCTCCTCCCCACTGAGAGCTGGTGTGTGGTGAGTGTACTGGCGCACTATGGCTGCCGTCACATCATCCAGGGTGGGGCTGCACACTGGTGGTGGGGGTGGGGAGCCTCCATTAGCTGTAAACCGCTTTGAGTGGAGTGTCCAAAAATTATTATTTTTATTATTATTATTATTATTAATTTGAAACACTGTGATCTGCAGCCATGTTGTGACAGAGTAGGACAGTGTGTGCTCTGTTACTCCCCTGGATATTTTATATAGTTACATGAAGTTATGTAATTAATTGGGATGAAAGTACTCTGTTTACTGATTTTTCTAAAGGGCTTAACTAAGCCATACATGTGTATTTTAAATAGCCACAGCCTTGTAATTTTTTCAGGGTATTGGATTTAACATAGATATTGCAGATGTACCACTTATATAATTAAACGTGTTCTGACTGAATATCCTTGGGGAGGGTATAATTTTTTTTAAAGCTTCAGCGTCTTGACCTTGGATGTCTTTGTTTCCCGGCTCTAGCCCAGTGGTTCTCAGTCCTATTGCTGGGAGGACATTGACTCTTATAGTTTCTCCTCCAGCTGTGTTCTTATTGCAGGCAAATGGGCTTAAGTATATTTTTTTTTTGTGGTTTATGTGTGCTTTGAAAGTATTTTTCAGCTCTTGAAAGGTTTTTACAAGGTACATTGTGTATTGGTGTATAACATGCATCAACCCTATTTCTGCCATTTCTTGAGTTAGGTTTTAGGGGTGGCAGCTGAAACATAACTGAATCCACTTCGGCAGGAGGAAAAACCGCTCATTATGAACCACACACAAGCGTACCCAACTGCGTCTCTTCACCATAAATAAATTGCCAATTAAGAGCTTTTCTAGTCGGAAGCAAAGGAGCGGTTTCTTAATGAGGACCGCATAAAATTGAAAACGATGGATTTTAATAAGGGTATTTTGGGGAAGTGCCGCAAAAGCATTCATGAAGCAGGGAGATCATGTGCGGACACTCGTTAGCCCTGGGGACTGAGGGCCCATCGTTTCACGAGGGCCCCCCAAGGCCTAGCAGTTCTCCAGACCTTCTGTAGCGTGTACCTTGTTTCCTAGTCTCCAGCAGTTTCCCTTTTCTGTCCTGCAGGGAGCGGAGGTGGTGTGGCTGGTGGAGGTGCAAAGAGGTGGGGATGGGGAGGACGAGTTCATTGAGTGTAACAACATGACTCTCATCAACCTGGTGATCAAGGTGCTGGGCCCCCTGCATGAGAGGACGCTCACTGTCATCATGCTGCTCATACAGGTGACCTAGGGGCTGGGGACAGTGTCACTCATTCAAGGTTCCTCTCTCTGATTGTGTCCTATTTAACCTTCCTTTCATTCAGCTGTCTTCCTACTTGTAAGTTAAATGCATCTTCCTCACTCCTTAATATTAACCCCATATTTTTTTTTCTACAGTATACACATTTACGGACATTTTGGGTAGCCTGATTACAATCCCTTTCAAACTCTGGGCATTTATGTCATTAGGTGTTCTCTGACGGAAGCCTGCAAGCTTTATAATTAATACAGTGCTTGAGCCAGCACGCCAGAGGTGGCATTAAGGTGATGATAGGAAAAAACTGTGGATTTAAATAAGTAAGCAGCTGCCTCAGATGGTATGTTTTTCCCAGGGCTACCTAACGGTGAAGTTAAAAGTAAAACAGCTAAATCTTATCATCTGTAACACCTGTTTTTAGGCCTCCTCACTGTTTAAATTAGAATCCACATATATATTACTTGATTTGAGTGCTTAATTTTTCACAATAACTGTTGCTCCCAGCTTTAACCAGTTGCTGATTAAGAGATTCCAATTAAAACCTGCAGCCCCTAACGATCCGAGTTCATCACCCCGGTTTAAATACTAATTGCCCCCATATTCGCCTCTAAAGTGTGTTAGCCCAGTCTTAATGAGGAAGCGTGAAAAACCTAGCAAGTTGAGAAACAGATTAGGTTTTTCCAAACATTTAATTAAAAAAGCTATTGAATGAACACTTTAAAATGAATCAAAAAGTCGGG